TGGGCTAATTTTTTATTTTTCGAGCAGAACCTGTGTCAGCTTAGATTTGTGCCCCTTAATGCGTACTTGTACTGATCTGCTTGTTTCTCCGATGTAACATCTGCCGAAGTTGCATGAGATGCTGTACACACACTGCCTCGTCTGCTGGGCATCTCCAACCAGTCCAGTTTTCATCAGTGCCCTTCGGAGTGTGCGTTTAGTTTTGAAAATGGTTCTGGGATTGAAACGGTTCCCAATGCTTCTGGATTTCTCTGAAGTACCCTTAGCATATGGTGAGCGGGGATAGCGCAGTTGGTATAGCGACTGGCTACGGGCTGGACGACCGAGATAGAGCCTGAGAATTCCTTTGGTAACTTCCATGTGCCGTCCATTTTATCTGTGTCCCGTGTACGACTAGTACGCTGTACATATTAGTGCTAAGATTACACCATGCGGCAATACATTGCATGTTCAACTGCTTGAGCAACTGCAGATTCTTACAGATTGCAATCTGTATTCCCACCAGAGCGGACAAAGTACTACATTGTAAAATGAGGCACCGGACAAACAATTCATATCAAATAATACTACATCTATACCACGGCCCTCCAAAGCAATTGACTATATATGTATACAAGTCTTGAATATAACACTATATACCCGCTGGAATATAACAAGAAGTTTGCAACAGCTGACTCCATAATATGAAATATCACATGAAGAGTTTTTAACTATATTTTATTACATAAATTTCTTTATATAATAATTTTATAATTCGTTATATTTTTATACCTCGTGGTATAAAAGCAGACCCGTCTGCTTTTACCGGTTCTCACGGTCTCTTCGCTTTCGGATTTCTTATATTTTTCTTTCTACCCTGAAGATGGAGGCGATACGTTCCTCCGAAACTTCGGTTAACACCACATATACACGGTGCCAAATCCCAGAAGACTGCTTTCTTCATAGTCACTGCCGTGAAAGCCTCAAATCTTATATATTATAAGGGTGTTTGTATTTTTCACACTATGACAAATTTCTACACATATCCTATGATAGTTTCTTACGAGTAATGGCAAATTGCTATTGATATGTTATTATTTTGTTTTGTATACGACGAAACTACCCTAAGGAATGTATATTTTTTGTATACTGAGAACATTCACGGATTTCATGTAATATTTATTTCACGGTTTATTAAACAAATTGCAATTTCAACTAGAATTTGTTAATATTTATTTTTTAAAATATTGTGGCTTATTTCCTCAAAGCAAGAAGCGTTGATCCAGAATAATAGCTGTTGCTAGGTAATGCTCGCATGCAACAATAGAGGAATTGTATTTGCTCAAAAACAAGAACTGTGAAGCCAGAGAAACAGCCGTTGCTAATGTCCGTACACAACAATAGAGGGATTGCCACTATAAGAGATGTGACTCGTACAGCCGTTGCTATGGAACAGTTGAGTAAAGAAGTTTCCACGTAAAAGAATTCACACAACAATAGAGGAGCTCTCTTTCTGAGCGGTCCGTGCCGAGGGATTATAAAAAGAACAAAACAGATCATTTGAGTCAGTCGAGTTTCGAGAAGCCAGCCTGCCAAGATATGAGCTTGAGAACGGAGGAGTTGTCAGAAGAAATAAGAGAGACTCTGGAGATAGCAGAGAAGAGCTGACACGAAAAGAATTAGGCCGTACACTGAAACCTTCAAGTGTGCTACAGTGATAAACTCTTATAAATCCGTTAACAGGACACGACTAGTGAAGACAGAACACTAGTATGTGTGTAACGGTAAACTGTAAAGTGTGTAGATCAGCAATAACGCTGTGTTACTTGTAGTTACGAGTTGAATGTATAATGTGTCGATAAATCCAATCATCCAATCCAAAAACCCGCCAATAATCACGCAGAACCCAAACTCCTGTAAATATTCTTGGTGAAAAAATATTTTGAATGTCGATCCATTTACTATGAATTTTCGAAATAGTATTATGATAACCGTGATTGTCACTGTGGCTTCTCGTAGACGCCGAATGCCGTTGATATGCTGGCATATCGGCCATCTTGTGTTTCATAGTTCGTTACTGTTCCGCCCCCTTCCGACTGGAGCTTCGGTAACATTCCCACTTGAGACAAATATGATAATGCAAGTAATTATGAACGTAATAGTGCTGTTAAATATATTATCCATGCATTATCTTCGTTTCTACACAGATCACTATCCGTTCTTCCAAAACAGTTACACAAAAATTTATGAACCTTGAAATTTTCATCATGTAATTTGTTTCAATTTTGCTGGTTCCAACGGCCGGGTTCGACCGCCAACAGCCATGTTTGTTCTTCTAGTGCTTTTGTAATTTACATTGTTTAATGGAGAAAACACTGAGATATCAGAGTAGCCCTTGACAGTTTACTTCTGCTGCTACTTCGGAGTATCGGGTTCAATCCCGAGTTACTTCGTGTGAGATTCTTGGTAGATGATGTCGCTGGAGCAGGATTTCCTCCGAATTTCTTTGGCTTTTCTCCAGTCAATCACCATCCCATCGTTCATCCTTAACCATTTATCACCCCCCCCCCCATGTGAGCGATTTCTGTGGCGCACATTATCACCTTCTCTGTCTTTAAGTTAGTCTTTTATGAAAATTTAATTAATTTGTAACGAAATAAAAAGAAATTAATGTGGAACAACACATCTACAAGACGTATTCAGTTATCACCAATAAGTATTTCCAAACCAACTACGTATAAAGTACACTGTGCTGGCGTGGTGTACATTAGAGCTGCGAGGGATTTTCTGTTATACGTTAATTCCTCTGCAATTAAATTAAACAAATTAACAACTTCGTTTCGAAATTTTCTCTTGTAGACCACAAAGAAACAAAAAACCTAACGGTGTGTTTGAATATTTATGCCAATTTTTTTACTTTATATTTTGGCATTTAATAGTGCACGAAACCGAAATAAGAAATATTTGATTAAAATATTTAATCTTATATATTTTATATTTCAAGTTATTGTCAATATGTCGCGGACTCACCTGGTTTATATATATTCCCTAAAATATACTTTAACAATGACTTCATAGGCCTATTCTTCAGCCATCGCCGTACAGAATTTCACCTTACATCGAGGAGCGCTAGTGTTGTTCTCTCTTCACAATTTCGCTCAGTCGCCATGTCGGTACTTATGAACACAACCAATTAGAGAGTAAGAATGTAAGATAGCCTTGAGTGTTATTTTTGGACGTACATCATGCAAGGTTCTGCAATTTCTTCTTTATCTATATGTATATTCTGATTAGTGATAAGTAAGTTATGAGTTATTTCTTAGTTGCGAATATGGAACATTAATTTTGTTTGGAATAATGTGAACATTTTTCTCTAAAGCGCATGCGTGATGAGGCTATATACTCGCGGGCCAGTTTTATGAATTGGCCTTGCGGCATCATGGGGTGTTACAATAACTATACTGAAAATATCCTAATGGTATAGACCTATTATATAATTATGTGCATTTTATAATTAATTTATATGGGTTAATTATGCATATGTTTTAAAGTATATACAATAATTTGTTTACCAGTAGCAACAAATCACAGGTGATAATCCAAAATATGATATTTTGATCTCATGCATAGAAATTATATTGAACTGCAAGTCTGTCGATAGGTTTTGTTTCGACGTGGAACACGCGGAAAATCGCGCACAGGAGGACCGCATTGTGTGAGGCTGGTCAACTAGAGTTTACATTTATTCCGGACCTCAAACCAATCTGAAAAGGCTAACGTAGTTAGGTCCGAAGGACTTTATACCAATCCTGATTCCTTTTCTTCCCACCTGTCAGCGCTGTGGAATCTAACTCCTAGCGGCCATCCAGCATCAACACATTCAGACATAACTACCATTAGTAGTGTGTCTTCTGTGTTGTGATACCACGTAATCTGACAGGTGGATATCAACGTTTCGGGTGAACATTCTGTTCCCATCTTCAGGGTAAATTAAATCAGAATATTCTTCCGAAATCTTGATACACACCTACATGATATCATAACGTAGGAAAGTAAAATATGAAAATTAGAAAATCTCAGATCTCACTTAAGTCCTTATCTGAAGCTGTACATGCTGATTTAGGCGCAGTGTACACAGGCAGTGGAATTACAAACCAAGTCCATTGTAATTTTAGGTTTTGTCATTGTATAAATATTTCTAATCTCTGTTACACTCATTGTGTGCTTGCGTATATATTCAGTTTTTCAGTTAGTCAGATTAACATGTTCATCCTGTGTGTGTGAACAACTATGTTTGCTTGATCTGGCATTAAGATTTCAGCTACTGAAACAGTCACATTTCGTGGATAAAATAGGCAAAAAATGACAGAAGATTTTGCCATAGATAAATTAATTACTTACAAGCCCTGACCGGTCAGAGTGTGCTGCCTATTTGACGTAAATATTTATAAAAAATAACGTATTTTGTATTCGACAATAATTTAGAATCACATTGCAAGTTCACATAAGAGAAACTGAATGTTCTAAATTTAACAAATTAAATATTTTGATATGTTTTTAAAATATAAAAAAGTAGTTTGTTATGTGTGTGTGTGTGTGTGTGTGTGTGTGTATGCCTGAAACATCCACGTGATCTCATATGTTTTCATGATAATGCTGTGTATTTTCAGACGTAAGACAATTAGGTATGTTTAAAGTACTGTGTGTTGGCCGCGCCATAGCTCAAGCGGTTAGTCGCTCTGGTTTCCCACCGCGGCGGCTCGGGTTCGATCCCGGGTCTGGTCAAGTGGGATTTGTGGTGGACAAAGTGGCACTGGAGCGGGTTTTCTCCGAGTACTTCGGTTTCCCCTTCCAACCTTCATTCCACCAAATTTTCCATCATCATAATCACCCGGGGCAGGCTACAATAGGCCAGTCAGTGGCCGCCGTGCCGAGTGGACCCAGTTGGACTCCACCCCCCACTAAGCCAATTAAAAAAAAAAGTACTGTGTGTGAAAGGCAAACTGTTTCTTGAGACTTACCTGTGTCTGGGATAGCTGCTTCGAACTTGTTGGCCAAGTAACCCCGGATGTTGGACGCTACTTTCTGCGGCGACGCTGGTGCCGTAGCGGCTAAGCCCTGTAGCAGGGGCCCGGGTAACCTTCCCAACAACGACCCGCCGGTTGCTGATGATGACGTATCGGTGTTACCCGGAGGCACGGCGGTGCCCTCGCTGGAGTCGGCCGTGGTTCCTAAATTTTCTTCAACTTCCTTACTGAGAGGATGTTACAAAAAGTAAGGATTCAGTTCTCTCGGATCCGAACCCGCCCACGCAAGAGTGTGGTGCGTGTGTGCGTCGTACAGTACCAGTTCGGGGGGGAGAATGTAGTTTATGTATATTTGCACTCCCCCTAATATTTTTTCTAAATTAGTTTCTCACAAATGTTTCCTTTACGATTCTGTAATTGTGCGTTAAACACATAGCACAGTCGACGGCAGTTGGTAGCGGCGTTTATGCCAGCCGTACACCCCGGAATCTATCTCTGATTTACCCCCTTCGGATCCTGTTATAAGGCGGAGATGGTTAGACAAACCCGGCACACACATATACACACACACGGGCTGTCAGGTCCCGGCCGAGTCGAGCCAGGTTACCTATCTTCCCAGGCGCAAACGGGAGACAAAGAGGGGAGTTGGAATATCTTGTATGGAGGGGATGCATAAATTGAGGGGTGGGAGATACGGGGCAGGGGTGGAGAGGAGAGGGACGTAGAGTTTTCACTGAAACGTTCTCGAGGGCACGACGCTTGCGTCCTGCATTCCTTCACTGGGATTGGCTCCCTGATCATATGATGTCATATCTGTGTTAGCCTATCGTGATTAGGGAGTTGCATGCTTTATATGTGACTTCTGGGGTGAAGGGGGTGCAAGAAGGAGCTGAAAGTTTCGAAATAGGTTTTCTGATACATATTCTCTGTTCAAAAATTGTATATTACTCTTTACATCCTGAGTGTTCTCGAAAGGAGACATATTTTCGGAACCCTCTGTACTGCAGGTCCTTACACTAATGTTTCAGTTTAATCAATACAGTGGTACATAAGGTGCCTCAACCTTTCTTCCACCTGATTGTATCGATACGTCGTTACATTCGTTGTTCATTTAGTCATGTTGCTTGAGTCTCCTCCTGTGGCTTGCGAACACACGAACACAGCAGAATATCCCCTGGAATAACTTATTCCATTTCATGTGCATCATAGCTTTGTTGTCTTCTTTACTTCTGTTCCTATAGCTAACTTAATATACGTAAGGTAAAGTTGTCCCTGTGCTTAACTAATTAAGCACCACGCCATGAAGACATATGGAGGAGTGGAGGTGTAGCTCCACCATTCTTGACCTCGACACCAGATGGAGTTGAGTGGTCACCTTCATGCCTCGGCCGCTTTACCTCAGGAAAAGATCCCCGGTACCCATTGGATAGGGTGCTGGGCGGACTCGGAACCGGTCTGTGTGCTGTGGAGAAGAGAAAAATCTTGCCCCTGCCGGGAATCAAACCCCGGCCATCCAGCTCGTTAAACCCATTGAGCAATCCTGACTCTTCGATTTATAGGATATAGCCCAAATTATGCACAAAACAATTTAAATAAAATTTGGAACTGATAACAGATTTATTATCGTAAGAATTTTCAGAATCCTAGCTGGAATGAAGGCACTGTTACGAACACTATAATAATAGTTCTTGAACATGTTGATCTTATGCCTTCTGAAGATGGTCAGCTGAACGAAACGTGTAAAGACAATAAACATTGTCACGTGTTTGCTAGGCAATGCGACAAGAAATTGTGTGGGTTCTCGGATTTGAACGAATCCCTTTATTGGACAGTCACTTTTACCCTCACACTTGCAGTTATTCTCCATTTGTAACGTCCTTTAGACATTTCTTCTCCATGTTACAACTCTTCTGTTCTAGTCGGATAAAAACTCTTCCTGCTAAAGAAATACAAACTCTGCCGGGCTCTGGCCGTCGTTGGGCTGTTATAACTTGCACTCAGATTGAATAAGGAATACCTTGTCGAAGGGTTAATTCCGCCCGCTGTTACGCAACGAACGCGGGAACACGTGTCTACCTCAAACAATTCGTTTGTAACGGTGGAAACCCCACTGTTAGAATCTCATTTCCGGGTCAACGATTTCCTAGGCTTCGCTGCCAAGGAATTCCTAGCCGTTGTATAGCAATGGATGCGTTCTGATTCCAAATATTCCGGCCCTAGGCGGCACGCCACAATATCTACAAATTAAATCACACTGGGCCGTGTTAACCATTATTCTATAATTTCGAATAAAGGCACCTTTGCCATTTTGAATATTTAGAATATTAATATAGAAACATGGCATTGAAATGTTCTCTAAAAACAAGAACTTTCTACTGACTTGCACGAAAACAAACAGCCATGTTTCAGTTTTGACGAGAGGGTACACGTGCACATAATGCGTCTCTTCAGGAAAATGCAGAGTCTCCTAAGACAGATATGAGAGTGTATACCTGTAACCTGAAGACAAGGGACCACTTGGGAGGCTTCGGTGTATATGGTAGCTCGACGTTAAAATTAATAGAGAAATATTACAATTAATTAAAGGAACAACTATTCATAAATTGCAGGCTCATAAAGAAAATATTTGCGAAAGGGTGGGTAGGTATTATTTACATAAGGAATGTTGGCCGACCGCCTCTGTGGTCTAGTGGCTACAGATCCAGAGGTACCGGGTTCTATTCCCAGCGCTACCAGATTTTCTAAGAAGTAGTGGGTCCGGAATGGGATCCACTCAGCCTCGTGAGGAAAATTGAGTAGCAACTTGAATGGAAAATAACGGCCGTGGGGATTCGTTGCGCTGACCACGCGACACCCTCTATCCGCTAAAGCTGGCACTAACTTCACCGACAAGCGGAAGTCGCTCGATCGGTATAGTTCGCTTGCGGACTGCAGGCCACGGAGTTTTTTTGTTTTTGTTTTATAGGCTGTTGTGTACACGAAGATTGTCATTCTCTGTGTTGTGACTCTGTATAATCTGGTAGATATTTATTGACATCTTGCAAGGATATTCTGCCTCCATTCCAAGAGAAGAATAAACCTGAAGATGGAGGAAACACGTTCCTGCATAACTTCTGTGAACATTTGCCAGTCTACGCGGATCACACCCACAGAGGACGGTAATTTTCGATAACCGACGTGAGTACTCAGATCTCATTTGTGAACATGTTAATGAAATTTAAAGCTCCATGAATGAGAGAGCAATTTTTGACCATCTGAGAGACTACTGGTTTCTCAAGAAGTGCACTTTTCCATTTAGATACTGGGACAGTTACTATCCTCGATGGGTAAAGATACAATTTGTTGACACAATGTATGTGGGACTAATACCCTCGTATTGGAAACAGGAACATACAGGTTGCCTTAACGTAATATTTCAACAGAGCATCACTCATGACGAAATGGGAAGCGTAGAGGGTCATGGAGTAGTTGCCTATAGCAAAGTTCAGAGGTCAAACTCGGAATTTTGCTTCATTGTGAACTGTAGTGCAGAGCCTTCCAACGGTAGTGTGTGTAGCTTAACCGTGTTAAATAGCTTAAGACTATAATATTAATGGGTACTTAACGAAGTGTATGATTCAGCTTTATAGTCTTTCTCAACGTTAACGCTTGTGAATTATGCAAATGACGTTATCCAAGATAGTCCAAGATATTATGGTTTCAGTGCAAGAATAAGTAAAATACAATAGTATAAGGTTTAATGACCGCCTCTGTGTTCTAGTGGTCAGAGTTCCTGACTATAGATCCAGAGGTAAACATTTGTCTGATAAATTTCCTATGGTCTAAAACAAGGAGATGCTTTATCGCCACTCCTTTTCAACTTCGCTTTAGAATATGCCATTACGAAGGTCAGGGAAACCAGNATAGGAAACAGATGTTTTTAAAATGTGGCACAGTTCAGATATTTGGGAACAACGATAACAGATCGAAACCTGATTCAGGAGGAAATTAAGAAGAGATTGCACTCGGGTAATGCTTGCTACCATTCAGTCCAGAAAATTTTGTCTTCTCGTCTACTGTCCAAAAACATAAAAATTAGAATATACAGAACTCTAATTTTGTCTGTGGTTCTGTATGGGTGTGAAACTTGGTCTCTGACATTAAGGAAGGAACATAGACTGAGGGTGTTTGAGAACAGGGTGTTGAGGAGAATATTTGGACCGAAGAGAGATGAAGTGACAGGAGGTTGGAGAAAACTGCATAATGAGGAGCTTCATAATTTGTACTCTTCTCCAAGTATAATTAGAATGATCAAGTGAAGGAGGATGAGTTGAGCAGGGCATGTAGCCCGAATGGGGAGACGAGGAATGCGTATAAGTTATTGGTGGGAAAGCCAGAAGGAAAGAGACCACTGGGAAGACCAAGGCGTAGGTGGGAGGACAATATTAAAATGATCTTAGAGTGATAGGATGGGATGGTATGGATTGGACTGATCTGGCTCAGGATAGGGACCAGTGGAGGGCTCTTGTGAACACGGTAATGAACCTTCGGATTCCATAAAATTCTGGGAAATTCTCGAGTAGCTGCAGAATTGGCGGCTCCTCCAGAATGGCTCAGCTCCACGAGTAAGTAAGTAAATAATCATTTCACACACGGTAGGAATCCTTGGATGAGTGATCGGCCCGTCGCAAGGTCGCTACCTGAACACAAGGCAACAGAAACATAGAGAAACACACACACCAAATATCCATGCCCTGAGTGGGATTCAAACGCACGAGCCCGGCCTACGAACGAGCGAAGACGGTACATGCCTTAGACCGCTTGGCTACTGTGACCGGCTGAGAGGAAAGTACCGAGGAAAATTTGTGTGCAAACTAGAGAAAAGCTAGGATGGAGAATTAAGTGGAATTACGAAATATATGGATTACATACTGCTCGTGAAATACTGGAAACTGTCCAATTTAGGAAGCTCAGGTGGCTATGGCACCTAACCAGGGCAAGCGAGACATCCTCATGCAGGACGCGTTTCCAAAGCCCGAAGACACAAGAAGGTCTGGAAGAGCCAGCCTAAAGAGACTAGAAATTTCTGCGAATCTTCG